ATATCCATACATGGAGTATTTGACAATTAAAAAGGAATGAAGTGGGGCTGGGGATGTGGCTCAAGCGGTAGCGTGCTCGCCTGGCATGCGTGCGGCTCAGGTTCAATCCTCAGCACCACATACAAACAAAGATGTTGTGTCCGCCGAAAACTAAAGGAAATAAATATTTAAAAATTCTCTCTCTCTCTCTCTCTCTCTCTTTAAAAAAAAAAGGAATGAAATACTAATAGTACAATATGGATGAACCCTGAAAACACTGCACTAAGCTGGGTGCAGTGAGACATGCCTATAGACCAGCTACTAAGGAGACTCAAGAAGGAGAACCCCTTGAACCCAGGAGTTCAGGGCCAGCCTGGGCAACAGAGTGAGAACCTGTCTTGTAAAACACAAAACAAAACAAAAATAAATAAATAAACCCTATGTTTAGTAAAGAAGCCGCGGAGGGGGGGGAATACCATATATTGTATAATTAATTTGTATGTTTGGATAAAATGTCCAAAATAGATGAAGAAATATAGAGGTGTATTATTGGTATCAGAGGCTCAGGAGGGATTAGGTGAGGTGGGGAGGGAATGGGAGTGACTAACAGGAAGGAGATTTCTTTTGTGGGTAATAAAAATGTTCTAAAATTGGTTGTGGTGAGAGATACTCAACTCTATGAATATACTAAAGTCCATTGAATTGTACACTTTAAATGGATAAATTATATGGTATATACATCATCTCAAAGCTATTACAAAAAAAGTGAAATGGGGCATTTCTTTTTGAAAACATGTTGGTAAAGGTTCAGAACAATATGTACAGTGTGCTGCCGTTTAGGTAAAACACAAACACAGAGAAGAAAAAGTAAACATTTGGTTGCATGTGCATGAAATATCTTGGAAGGATTTTTTTCATGTAATATCCTTTTTAGACTTTTAGGAATTCTAAACTATGTAAATGAATCTCCTATTACAAATTAAATTTTTACCGTTAAAAAGATAATTTGCTCTGCCATCACTATCATCATAATTAAGCATAATTATGCTCTATGTGTATACATAATAATGTTTTGTTAGATATATAGAAACTTGGGAGCTGACAGGGATCTTGATGTTTATATACTGAGTTGGACTCCCACAACTTATAGATGAGAACAAATGAGATTCAAAGATTAAGCCACTGAGTCCACACAATACTGTGGTATACTTTCTCAAACTCTGAGCAATCTCATATCAACTTTGCAATTTCTATAACAGGTGAACCATTATATATTATATGGTTTTCTTTAAAGTGACTCACCTTTTTAAATAAATGTCATCAAGTTCATGAAATATAGGTTTATTTTTTTCTCATGCACTTTGAAATAAATATATAAAAATGTCTACCTAAAAATATCTCATGAATCTCAATTTGAGAAATACTACATAAATGGGCTGGGGATGTGGCTCAAGCGGTAGTGCGCTTGCCTGGCATGCGTGCGGCCCGGGTTCGATCCTCAGCACCACATACAAACAAAGATGTTGTGTCCGCCGAAAACTAAAAAATAAATATTAAAAAAATTCTATAAAAAAAAAAAAAAAAAGAAATACTACATAATGAAAGGAGTATTTAATTGACACACAGAAGCCCTGGGTTTTCATCCTAGTCTTTCAGTAAATGCTTTTTATTTTCATCTTAATTTTTTTTTAATAAGGACTTCATGAATTTGTATTTCAGACTGTGCAGAAGTCATATTAATCTTCTCTGTATCCTTCACATTTCAGTATATGCACTACTTAGATGAACAAATAAATGCAGTTTATTACTGACTGAATTCTTAACTTTTCCTGAGCTCAGTTTCCTCATCTTTAAATGAGGATTGGACTAAATGTGTATGAATCATATTCAAGTTTCCTGACTCCAGGATCCAGGTGTGATCTACAGTTACTCCATGTTTGCTATTGCCAATAAGTTGCCTAGCATTTCCAGTGTCCTTATCATATCTCCTGGGTGATTTACCTTTGGTCTTAATAAAGTATATTCATGGCTTATATTTTAAATTGCATTTACAGATGAGGAAAACTTCTAGGCCCAAGGAGGTAACAGTGAAGCTACAACTGCTGGAAAGAATACAAGCCCCCCTCACGTTATAAACTTAAAGAGCAGAGATCTCCTGGGATGATTTTCAACTTTAGCTATAAAATACTGAGAAGGGTTATAAAATACAGCACTTTCATGAAGTGATGGTTGATTGCAAGAGATTCCACACTATAAATTTATTTAAAGGGAAATAGTCAAAGATGCTGACAAATATTCAGGAACAAGGATAGTAGCACCAGTATTTATTATAGCAAAAAAATGGTTAACAATATGTCCAACAGTAGAAAAACTGTTTACTTATAATCTTAATGAAATTAAATATTTTAAGGCTGCTTAATGATGTGTGAATGAACATACAATAAATAAGAATAAAAAGTATCTAAAATGTAACAATTTTACAAATGCATGCAAATACAACAGTGAGCAGAGGGGAAAAAGAGAAAAAAAAAAAAACAATAAGGGAAAACACCAAAGGGTCAACTATAACTCTATCTATCTATGTGGGAAGGCAGAATCATGGATGATCTTAATTTTCCTAATAGTCTCATGACATTTTTATTCCTTTATAATAAATACAACTTAGTATCAGAAAGCATGAGCAGTATTTTATTTTTAAAGATTATACCTCTTTTGGCTCTGATTCTGTGGGAAATATCCAACCCATTCACAAATATTTATTGAGAATATAGTCTTAGTTTTGAAATACAGAACTGTGCCAGATCTGTTCTGTGAAGATAATCTGTAATAACAGATCATTATGCATAACTTTAATAATTAATAGATTATTCACATCTGTAATAACAATTTTATGACATCAAGCTTCATTTTGTTTTTCTTGTTAAAGAACTGCCCATAATTCTTTGAAGAGCTCTAGCAAATGACCCACCTCAGGATATGCCTGTTCTGCTGCTTGGGGCAGCTAGATGAATCAGACACAGTGCAACCATCCCTCAGGATCTCTTTGGGTGCTTCCGTGTGAACTCTGGAATTTTCCTTAGCCAAGTAGAGAAGCCAACCCTTTTATGTGCAGTTACCTTGAACCATGACCCTGCAGAGATTGGTCTTCTGACATTCTAGTTCTCCTGACATGAATCTTTAATTTCTTTAAAGAAGTCTTTATCTGTCTTTGTCTAAGAATTACTAAAAAGTCCAGAAGGGGCAGGCACCTGAGGCAAGCTGGACCTCCTTTCATGTTCCCTATACTCCCTTTAGGTTCTTTTCAGGTTGTAGAGCTCTAGGGAATAAGACAGCAAGAATGTCAGGGAGTGTTAAGGATGGTTTCTTCATTTTTAAAGTTTATTAAAGCATGGTTTCTTCATTTTTAAAGTTTATTTAATTGATTTTTAAATTTACTTTTTAAAAATATTTTGTTTTAATAAATTAATAAACATTCTTTCCTGAAGGTGCTCTCTAACCACACAGTTATGCCTCACTGCTCAGTAATTTTTCAGATAATCCTTAAGAATTCCTTACTCCCTTGTACTTTGGATAACCTCACACCAAAAATCAGTCTACAATACTAGGGACTGTTTATTGTTACCTAACTATTTCAATGTGTTGCATCAAGAACATTTAGCAAGAGAGTCAAACAATTTAATCTTTTTGGTAAAGTTCAATTAACTACAAGGCATTATTTTTTAAGATCAATGTTAAAACTGAAAGTAGTAATGCGCCAGGTAAGTTGGATACTGAACCAAAGAACTCCAAGAAACAAACTATAGAAATATTGGGTTGATTCTGGTTTTCCCCCCAATTTAAATATCATTTTTTAAACTAAAAACAAACAACAACAACAAAAAAACTCACCTGGAAATAACCTAAACACCCATCAAAAGAGGACTTTTTAAATAAATCAGTAAATTCAGCAAGTAGATGCCTACACAGAATGAAATAGAGTTCTATATTTCCAGGGAAAAGATATCCCAGATATAAAGTGGAAACACTTTGACGCAGAGTACATATATGATTGCATATAACACAAAAGATATACGTATATGTGCTTGTACAAAAATAAACATTTCTATAAGGAAACACATTTTTCCTCTCTAGGAACAGGACTGAGACAGGGAATGAGAGAAAGCTTTGTGTGTTATTTTATGTACTTCTATCTGTCCTGAGTTTTTCATTGTTTAAAAAACCTTTTGCAGGCTTCAAAATGGGTTCTGATTGTGAGGTAAAGGTCAACACTTTTGCTAAGAAAAAGAAAAACTTTAAGAAAACTTTTTAAAAATAGTCTTTTAGAGAAAGAATCTACATACCACAAATTCAAGCAATGTAAAGTACACCGTTTGTTGACTGGATTTTGCACTGAGTTTTCCGGCTTTATTTGGCATGCAAAACAAAACTATCTTTTATGTGATCAAGCATAAGGATACCTTTTGTGTTTAAGAAGTCTCTGGGGGTATCAAAATCTAAGCCACTGCTCAAAAATTACTCAGCAGTGACTACAACGAGGGTAAATAATCTTGGCCTTGAGCTTACAAGAGAAAGGTCAGAACTACAAGATCCCACAGAGCTTAACTAAATGGGGGTGGGGTAAGAAAAAGAGCAAGACCTGGCAGGGCTCTGCCAATTTTCCATGTTCAAGGGACCCGTGAAGAAGAAGCTCAGCTAGAAGGACCCTCAGAAGCAGCTGCGACCAGACTGGAGGTGCCTTTCAAACAAAGCAAGGTGGTTTCTTTTTATTTTTGAACTCAGAGCGTGTCCGAATTCACGAATGCCCTCCCCCACCCCACGCAACCTACCCAAAACAGCCGGCGGAAACTGGAGTTTTCGGGGTTGTCAGCTGCCAGAGATCTCATATCCCCGCGGCGGGAGGAAAACGCCGCGCCCGCTTCCTAGGACCGCATCCGGGCTCGAATCCCCCGCCTCGGCCCCTCCGCCCGCAAAACCCGACCCGGGCGACAGCGCTCCGCCGGCCCCGTGGCCTGGGCGCCCACCTGTGCCTTGAAGCATATTTTGTCGGAGCAGGTCCCCGCTGGAGAGGTGCTTCAGCTGGAAGTGTTTGGTGATGCGCGAGGACACGGTGCCCTTGCCCGAGCCCGGAGCCCCCATGATCACTGCGCGCACTAGCCGCGCGGAAGCCCCCATGGCTGCTGACAGAGGACGACGCAGGGCGGACAGCGGGACTGCGGCCTGGCCTGCGCGCTCACCGGCTTCGCGGCCCGGGACGGCCGGCTGGAAGCTCTGCAAGCAGGCGGCGGCCCCGGCACCCACGCTCTCCCGGAAGTGAGCGACAGCCACCGGGCCGCCCCGCCCGCGGCCGCCGGCTTCAGCGCCCGCCCCTCGGCGACCCCGGCGCGCCCCCTCCTCGCAGCCCGCCCGGGCCAGCCGGCGCTATCCGCGCTCCCTGGGCACTCCCTCGGCGACCTTGGGGATCCCTGAGGTCTCAGCGGCCCCCTGCGCTCCTTGGCGCTGCTTCCCCATCTGCGCCCTCCGCTCTGCTCCGCTCCTTTCGCTGGCATTCTTTTGCTCCCTTCTGCCTCCTGGTCGACTCCTATAAAACCCCCTGCTCCGGTCTCATCCAGCCCCCAGCCTTTACCCGTCCCTCGACCACTGCGCCTGTCCTGCCAGGTCCCCCTGATAGACCGCGTTTCTCTCCATTCACCCTTGGCAACTCCTAGGCGCCCCCTTTCTACCTCTGGTTGCCCCTTGACGCCTCTTGGTTGCGGGACTCCACTTACTCCCCCTCGCCCCTTTTGCAGCCCTAGCCCCTTCCTAGTCCATGCCAGTTCCTGACCTGCCCAGTCCCAGCCTCATAAACCGTGCCTTCTTCGGGCTCCTTTGGCAATGTCTGCTGTCCCACCAGGTGCCTTCTCGCACCCTCCACTCCACGCCAAGTTCTCCTGGCTCTCTGGAGTCTCGGCTTTCCCTCCCACTCTCCTTTACTTCCCTTCTCTACCTTCTTCCTCCTCTGCCCTGGGAAAGCATCTGTTTAAAATCACAGTGACTGACAATGAGCCTGGAGGGCCTCCCTCCCTCCCTAGTTCAGTTTTTGAGGGACTTTAAGGCACGCATCTAATGAAAGATGTCTCTTACCTTCTTGGATCAAATGTTCAGAATCAAAAGCAGCTGCTACTTTATGGAGTCCAAAAGTATTGATTTCTCAGGCAACATTATTTGCCTTCAGAAACGCTTTCATTCTGCCTCATTATTTTCATTTCATTTCCTACTATGTGCCACTGTTCTTAGGGAGCTCTAAGAATGCTGTGGTTGACAAGGCTTCTTGGAGTTTTAAAGCCCTTGAAGTTTAAAGTCTAGCAGTGGAAGCCGATCATAACCAGGAAACAAATGAGCAAGATAATTTGAAATAATGTAAAATAAAATAGAATGTGTGGAAGTGTGGAGGGAGGTTGTTTTAGATCTGGCAGGTCAGTCATTTGCTGTGACTACTGAGTTGGAATATGGAGGGAAAATGACACAGGGCCAGAAAGAAGGCCCTACAATGGAATATTTCACATGTTCCGATAATAGAAATATGAGACAAATATATGAGTAGCATTTTACCTGGTAAAAAGGGCATGGAAACTAATGTGGAATGGTTAAAATAAGGTGTGTAAAGTTTTTAGTACAATACCAGCTACAAGGGAAAATGCTCAATAAAGACTGTCCATTGTCCACTTATTATCTTTGTGCTGGGACTCTATGCTGAGGCAAAAAGAAGGCTCTGATTACAGAAATGCAGTGCTATCTTTCTCAGAGATTGCCAAATGAATCGTTCAAAACTGCTTTCAATTTTGAAAAAGAAATTGTTTCAGGTAGATGGCAAGGGCAGTCGTGTTCAGAAAGGAATTCTGAGATGAATGATCAGACAAGGAAATTTCAATAAGTGGACAGCCCTGTATTTACAAGAAAATTAGTTCATGTGTGTTTGTTACTAAGCAAATGGAAAGAAAAATAAATTAATTAAATATTCAATTCACATAGTTTGAAAAAGGACATTCTAATGACTCCAGGAAAGCAAAGGAAGGGCTTAAGTAAATAACATATAGAATTAAATAATGAATAAAAATGTCTGGACAAGTATAAATTATGCAATACTATAAAACTTCAAAGTGTGGGAAAGTACTTCTAATCTCCAAAGCTAGGAACATTTGAGATTCCAGTGCCAAAAGAGATTTGAAAAAAAAAAAAAAAGTTATTGTGAAATTGGACTTAGAAAAAAAAGTTCAAACAAAAAATAACTGAGGAATCATCCTGTCACCATGGGGTGAGGTAAGAGATGGTATGCAACTTGTGGTCACAGTTAAAAGGCCCACATACATCAACTAACTTTGACTAAACAAGCTAAAGCTTGTTGATTAAAAATGAGTTAGTGACTGCCAAACCAGGAACTCTCTTGGCAACTAAGCTTTTCATGATCATTTCATCACACTCAGGCATTTGTATGGGTTTGTTTACTATTTAATTTGCTCCAATGGTAATAACAATTCAAAATTAATATTCATACCAATTTACCTTTTTAAAAAAATTTAGTTGTGGATGGACACAATACCTTTATTTTATTTATTTATTTTTATGTGGTGCTGAGGATGAAACCCAGTCCCTTACACATACATGCCAGGCAAGCGCTCTACCACTGAGCCACAACCCCAGCCCTCCAATTTACTTTTTAATCTAGCAAGGGGTGCCCAAACTATATAAGACCAAGTTTTTATACAGACTTATTTGAATTAAATAAAGCCCAGAAAGAGTGTTTACCCATAGTAGGCATTCAACAAATGTCTTAATTGAATGCTAAGAATTAGTGTTTTAGCCAAGTGCAATGGCACATGCCTGTAATCTCAATGACTCAGTAGGCTGAGGCAGGAGGATTGCAAGTTTGAGGTCAGCCTCAGCAATTTAGTGAGGCCCTAAGCAACTTTGTGAGACCCTGTCTCAAAATAAAAACATAAAAAGAGCCGGAGATGTATCTCAGTGGCAAAGCATCCCTGGGTTCAAACCCCAGTACCAAAAAAAAAAAAAAAGAAAGAGAATTAATGTTTAGTCACATTGTAGACTGGAAGATTTAAGAGCTCTAGAATGTACAGCAAAGGGCAGGGATTATGGATATATGTCATAGGTTGGATTGTGTCTCCCAAAAAGACAGACAGATACACTGGGATTGCCTAATACCTCAGAACATGACTTTATTTGGAAGTAGAGTTGTTATAGTATAATTAGTTAAGATGAGGTCATATTGTAGTACAGTCAGCCCTTAACCCTATATGATATAAAGACCCAGGAGGAGAATGCCAGGTGATGTTGGAGTCACAGACGAGTTAAATAGCTGCAATCCAAGGAACACCAAAGATTGCTGGCAACACCAGAAGCCAAGAGAAAGACGGGAAACTGATTTTTCCTCCAGAGCATTTGAGAGAGAGAGAGAGAGAGAGAGAGAGAGAAGCCCTGCTGACACCTGGATTTTGGCTTGTAGTCTCCAAAATTACCAGAAAATAACTTTCTATTGTTTTAAGCCTCCCAGTTTGTGGTAATTTGATGTGGCAGCCCTAGGAAAGGAATATACTACGGTTCCAAGAAATCTGTTTCTGGGTGTGTATGTTGGTTCACACCATGAGTTTGGTAAGTGAAAATAAAAGAATAGAAAGGTTTAGTGTCTGGAAAGCCACGACTAGCATTGTAATGGGATAAAAAGATAAGAAAAAGCAATTTCCAGGCCAGCCTGGGCAACACAGCCAGAACTTGTCTATAAATAGTGTGTGTGTGTGAAGGGGGGTGAGTCTGGAAGAGAAGGAGGGTACATCAGTTGTCTACTTCTGTAAAAAGCCTCTCCAAACTTTACTGGCTTAATACAAATGATTTATTTTCTATTACAGTTGTATAGTTTGTCTTGTTGGTTCCCCCTGGGCTCACTCATGTGACTACAAGATGACAGATCAGCTGGAATGGCTGAAACTATGTGGTCAGCTGGGCCTTTCCCCACAAGGTCTTTTGTCCCTGGCATCTTTAGATTCTGTGGACTCAGGATTCCTGGAGGGCAAGGGTCAATGTGCTAAGTACTTCGCACACCTCTTCTTGCCTCATGCTTTCCTGTAAACAAATCCAGAGTCCATGTGTGAGGGGACCACACATATGCACAGATACTGAGAGGTACAATCCATTGGGAACCATTACTGTAACAATCTCTACAGAATCTAACTAGTACTAATCTGCATTAGTTATCAATTGCTATTTACAAATGGCTCTGAAATGGTAGCTTTAAAACAACAGTATTTATTATCTCACATTTTCTATGTGTCAGGAGTCCAGATTTAGCTCAGAATCGGACACAATGCTGCAGTTAAGGCATTGGTTGAGGTTACAGTCAACTCAAGCCACAATTTGGGAAGGAAGTCCACTCATATGGCTATTGGTCCGTCTCAGGTCCTCTGTAGCTACTGGCTAAAGACATCATTCCAATCCTGAACAAAAGAGTTAAGGCCTTCCTTGTTCTCATGGAGCTAACATTCCATTAGAAAGAGAGAAAAGAGGCAAGCACACGTATAAATACATTAAATGGTAGGTGTTTATAGGTGCCCCAGAGAAAAATATATCAGAGAAGATAAATGGAGAATGAGGATAGGGCTATTGTTATTTTATTGTTAAGGAAAGGTTGTCAGACAATTTGAGACCTAAAGGAAATCTGGGGCCCTGCCATTTAGATATGTGGAGAGAGAAAATCCTAGAAAGTGTAGGCAGAGCAAGTACAAAGGCCCTGAGGGAGGAGTGTGCTTGGTTTTCAAAGAATAGTAGGGAAGTCAGTGTGCCTGGAGCAAACAAAGCGAGAAATTAACAGAATGAATGATTCTGGAAGGTAGGGAGGGTTCCAGTCTCTTTGGGCCTTATCAGCCACTGTGACAAAAGATGTTGTCCAAAGATAGCTACAAGGAGACCAACTTACAGTCCAGGTGCTTTTCTTACATGTGACTTTGACACTTTTCCAAGTAAGGGATGGGGCCTGTGTCCCCCTCTACTTTTAAACTAGGTAGGCTTTTGTGACTATTTTAACCAACTGAGTATGGTGGAAACAATGCTATGTGACTTCCAAGGCTAGGTCATAAATGACAATTCAGCTTCTGATTTGTTCACTGAGCACTCATTTTGGAAGAGCTTATAGCTGTCACAGAGGGAATCTGACTACTCCAAGTCCACCACACTACAAAAAAGCTCAAATTTGGGCCACATGAAGAAGCCACCTAGAGAGGCCTTGAGACTACATGAAGAAAATAGCGCTTC